ATTTCTGTACTTGAATCGCACAGGCATATCTCCAATCATATCCTCAAAGTCCAGTTTGTAATATTCGTCAAAATACTGTTCAAAAGTTTTTTCATCTACAAATATAATAATCAAAACCATGATGATGATCATAATATATATATATATATATATATATATATATATATATATATATATATATATATATATATATATATATATATATATATATATATATTAGGGTAGGCTAAACGCCCCTCATTTTTGAAAATCAAAAGGCACTCTTTTCCATGTGGTGTGAGTGTACTCTGTGAACAATAAAAACCAAAGTTTAACTCATTTGCAAAAAAATTTGACCCTGCTCAACAGCCTCAAAAAATTTGACCCTGCTCAAACGGGCTCGAATTTTTACCTCAAAAAGTCATATTATGACAAGTTAAACGTCCTTAATTACAAAATCCTTAATTAAATCTAAAAATTTTGACCTGGTTTTTCCGAAAAACCCGGTTTCCACATAATACTTAGCTATTGACAGTAGAAGAAATATACTACTATAATAACTTTTCCGATTATCTTAAGTTTAATTATGTACTTATACGTATTTAGAAAGCTTATTTTTTCCATATTTATTAGTAAAAATTACAATTTTTATTTATATAAATGAAATTTTTTATAAATAAACCTGACATAAATATATGAAATAACAACTTTTGATATATATTTTGATATTTAATAATCACATAAACAATTTATGTAACAATTGCATGTTAAAGAATTTCAGACAAATTCTTTTTGGAATTGACTGAAAACTTTTGTCTGTGATTTGAAATTAAAATCATCAAAGATTGCTTTAACTCCTCATCCTGGCACATGTGTGTTAAGTCTTGGATGAGCTTTACTCCTCTCTCAGCACAATCTTTTACTACTGTTAATTTTTCTACGAATGTTTTCAGAACTCGATATCCTGAGAGTTCTTTAGATTTCCGCCTGCTGAGTTGATGACATTAGCTAATGTAGCCGTATGCGCTGAACTCTGAATACCGTATCTCTTTGAATACTGTATCTCAAACAACCCGTTTGGCTGCATGAAGTGTTGTTCCTTAACACAATAGCTAGACTGTAACAGCAGTGGCCTTTAAGATTTTTCTAGGTAGCATAACTTCAACAAAATCGTTTTATTTCAAGTTTGTAAGTGTCTAATTTTTCTTAAATTGTGTGGTGTGTCACAAAATTTGTTCTTTGATAATTTCTTTCTACGATCTTTCAAGCACATTATCTTACTTCTATATAAAGAAACAACATTTTATTCTTACAGTAAGATTCTTTTAGTTTTAGTTTTAAAATTTTAGTTTTAAAAATAAATAAATACTGTGTATACAATTATTATTTACCTAATATGTTGGTCAGCTACTATTGGGGTTGCACTTCTTTTCCAGATTTTCTTCAGTGACGAAACAACACATATGCTTTTAAGAAAATTACACCCTCCAGGGTTATTGCAACCAATTTCAAAACTCCCATGTGGAAATTTGCAAGAAACCATATCACAGAGTCTATATTTTAAATTTTCTTTTCTTGCTTTGAATAGTTTGCCATGTAAATATTGCAAAACTTGCTCTCCAGTAGGCAATTGAGATGATGGTAGTATTTCAATAATATTATTTATCAAAAAAACTTTATATTTTGATCTTGTGTCTCTTCCCATAATTATCTAAAACCAAAACTATTCAACGATTTTTCTATGACTTCTTTATTTTCATAAGACGTCTAAAATAATTGTGATCTTAGTAAAATAAACAAACTGGTTAATTAAAAATGTTGTAAAAACCGGTTAATTTTTAAGGAAACTGGGTCAAACCTCAGGGTCCAAAATTTTTGAGCACAGTCTTAGTCTAATTTAATTACCATAAAGTTAGGCTTAAAATGATCATATGAACATAAAAAATTACAAATAAAAAACAGTGTCTTTAAGATTTTTTTTTTGAAGGTTATCTTACCGGTCATTAAATGAATTTTTGAGGTCAAAATTTGATATTTGAGCTCATTGAGCGGGGTCTAAAATTTATGCAAATGAGTTAAACTTTGGTTTTTATTGATCACAGAGTACACCCACACCACATGGAAAACAGTGCCTTTTGATTTTCAAAAATGAGGGGCGTTTAGCCTAGGGTAGGCTAAATATGCTTTTAAGAAAATTACAGAGTGATTTACGTACGCCTTAAGTGATTTTACATAAGCAGTAAAGGATTTCAGGTAAGCGACTCATCATTATTTAACTTTTAAATTATTCTATAAGCAGTAAAATAAAATAAGTAATTAATTTTAAAAAAGGTTACATTAACTTTTGAATTACATTCAAGTAAAAATATTTGTGACAAAGGTTTGAATGATAATGTTTAATATAACAGGGTTCAATTTAATTTTTTATAAAGTCTAGGACAAAATGTCTGATCAAAATTTTAACGGTTTTATGGAACGACTAAATTGTTAAAACATCAAAACGACTGTTTTGATGTTTTAACAATTTATATGCAATTTAAAAGATTGTTATGTTACAAATAACTTTTAATTATTGATCTTTTTCAAAGTTTTTATTTTACTTAAAAATAAAATAAAATCCAAAATTAATTATAATGATCATTTAAAAATAAAGGCATTATGTGTAAATAAAATATTATTTTAAAACTTTTTTTTAATTAGATATGTATTTTTTATGATAAATTTAAATATTTTTCCAAGTCATTCTAAAATCTTTTAAAAGGTTATTTTTTTAAGTTACTTAACTTTAAAACTTCCCATAATATTATTGCTTTTTTTTTTTTGGTTTCTTTTTTTACAAAAAATTGTTTAAAAGATTTTTTTTTTTTAATTTTGACTTACTAATTAAATTAGAAAATGATTAAAAATTTCAATAATTAAAAAGACAACGTTATTTTTTTAAACAATTTTTTTTTGCAACTTTTTGAAAAAAATGTCTATACAAATTAAAAAATTAAATTTTTTTTCTTATCAATAATAAGTTTGTTCATTTATTAAACAATCAACAGAAGTAATTTGTAAAAGCGTTTTGCATAACTTTTATTAAAAGATCAGTTTTAAAGTAATTTTCTTCAAATACAATTAAAAATGTATTTCTACTTCAAGTTTTTTTAGAGTTTTATTTTGAAGCTAAAAAAATTTTAAATATTTAATTCATTTATGCAAATGTTGAGAAAAGAAAGAAATTTGTTAATACCAACCATTTTTAAAAATGCAATTTTAGATTTAATTAATTAATATTAAAAAAAATAAATAATAATAATAATAATAATAAACATTTCCTTATAATAATTAAAAAAAGCCTTTAAATAACATTTAACTCGTTTTGCAGCAACCTCAATCTTTTAGAAGTCAGCACAAGGTCTTAACATAAAACATCAAAACAAGGTCAATTAATTACCAACTTTAAACATTTTAAGGTCAGCAGTCAGGTCGGCATTGCCAAATGCCGACCCAAACATTATATATATATATATATATATATATATATATATATATATATATATATATATATATATATATATATATATATATATATATATATATATATATATATAATCCTCAAGAAAGACTTGTGGTCACATGACTTATAACTGCTGTTATAAGTGAGCTTTATGGTTTCTTGTTATTTTTTAAAAGTAATGTCTAAAGGAGTGTTGCTAATACTTTTAACACTTTTAAAATTTTAGAGACTTTAGATTTTAGAGATTTTAGATAACTTTTAAAATTTTAGAGATTGTAAAATTTTAGAGTTTTGTAAAAAATATTAACCTCAATAAAATGTTTAATCTTATTATATAATGAAATAAGTAAGACCTTTCTCAATTTTTGAATAAATAAGGCAAATAATAAACTTGACTGAATTTTAATTATTTACTGTTATATTTTATATCAAAAAAAATCTGGAAAAATATATTCCAGGTATTTTTTTATTAATTATGAACGTTGTTATAACATTATAAAATCAGAATTTTTTTACTTTAACCTAATTAAAAAAAAACTGTTTTATAATCATTTGGTTCAAGTATAACTTCTTTAAGTAGTGAACAATTTTAGTACATCCATTCGTTACAGATAAAGAAAAAAAATTTGAATTCCATTCATTAACCAGAGTACAAGATTTAAATTTACTTTACGATTTAACTGAAACAAACTGTAAAGCTTATATAACTGTAAGGACGTCTTTTTTATTGTATTATAACTAAATTCGATAACTTCAAAAAAGTCAAATGTCTTGTCAATATATGGAATTTTTGCCACAATCAGAATAAACACCACACCTTCTTATCTTAGAAAGTTGAAGCTTTCTATCAGCTTTGTTGTGCAATTCAAAGCATTTGTTGTGCAATTCAAAGCTCCTGATTTTTTACTGAATGCAATACTGTTTTTTCTAGCTCTACACTCTGCAAAATATCATTTATCTGCAAATTATTACTCTACAAATTCTCTTCTGTCTAAAACTTCTCATTGTACAGATATAAAAAAGAGTTTTTTGAAAATATAAAATAAAGATCTTAATATAATTAATTATATCTCTTAAAATACTCTTATTTATCTGTCATATGACTTTTTCTGAATCACCAATAACCTTTTTTACACTGCACCCAATCAATGTTACAATCATATATTGTGTTGTTAAATTCCTGACACTACATTTATATTTCTTACGCATAAATTTCTTTCTGTTTACAGTTTGTTTATTTTATTATTCAAAGGGTTTTGAGATATGCGTTTTAATTCACAAAATCGCAGGGTAAAGCATAAACGATGATGATGTTTATAGGATGGTATAAACTAGGTATTGGTGCCGAGCCTCTTTGAAATGTCGGAAATAATAAACGCAATTCTGAGGAGAAGTTTATTACCACCACTATATAAAATATGATTACACAAAAGCAATATTTTTTCTCAATCTTATACCTCCTATCATTTTATATTTATTTACTTTCAACAGTGATATCTCTATGCATGTATATTTGTGTTAAAGTTAAACATTTGTTTTTAATGAAGATTTGTGTCCTGTTTTGTTTTAGGCATACTTTTACAATAAAATTACTGTTGACTATGATTGTGTATAACCTTTTTCTTAAAATAAATCTGAGTTTATTCTGAACATTTGTTTGTTTTTCTTTATTTTTAGTACTTATCCTCCTTTATATAAAAACTTTTTTTTAATAGAAATATTTCATATTTCTCTTTGGGCTTTCATTACTCAGTCTAGTTCAAGCACTGCAGATTACCTGCATTAAATATAACAAAAGTATTTCTAATTGAACTCCTAATACTAGCACACATTTCTTTCTGTTTACAGTTTGTTTCTTTTTATTATTGGAAGAGTTTTGAGATACTCATTCTAATTCAGAAAAATTTCTTACATTACAAGCTAAAGATTGCACCTGTAGATTTGCAATGTCTACAAATTGGTTACTTAATAAACACAAAGCTTCTGCTTTATTAGAAATTTCAATGCTTTTAGCAGCCCACAACTCACTTGTTCTCACAACTCACTTGCTTTTGCTTTCTCATTTTGAGATAAAAAAATGCAATATGCAAAACAGGAGGCACTACATTATCTAAAGTTATTATGGGGAAAATTACAGTAGCAATAACTGAAAATTATGAAACTTACTTAGAGCTCTTAAGTTTTCACCATGTATATTTTCACACCTCTCAATTTCCAGAATTTGATTATATTATTCTCTTTGGGATCTTATAATTATCAGGTGTGTGAAGCATAGAGACCTGGTTTCTAAGAGAATTTAATTCATCAAGATCTGTATAACTAGAGAGCCTAGCTGCTAAACCCTGGTGTCTCAGAACATCATTGAAATAAAAATCTCCTCACAAAAACAATTTTTTAGCATTTTAATTTAAAATCTGACAACTGAACTATTTAGATGTTACTGGCATAATGCCTGAGAATCAGCACAATATTCTTATGACAATCTGAACTCTAATACAAAAAAAAAAAAAAAAATGCACATCAAATACAGATCTGATGATTCAGAATTGACAACTTCAAAATGGAATTTAGGCACATTTTACCAAACTTATTATTTCATCCAATGCATTGTTTCAAAATTTCCCACTCAGTCAAATACATAGTTATTGAATTAAGTTTAAATTTGTAATAAATATAATACAAATAAATGAAATAATATTAATTAACAAATATATGCACTAAAGTGGATTTAACAACTCAACCGCGTTGTTTATTTTAAACTTTGTTTATATTGTACTTCAAAATTTGACTTGCAAAAACAGTTTTTTCTATAAAATTTGTTAACAAATAGTTTGAGTCTTAAAGCATTAAAGGTTAAATCGACAACACAAACTAAAACTAAAAAGATTTGTTGTAAAACATGAAATCTAAAAACATATTTGATAACATAGCTGAAGGTACATAAAATAATTTTTTTATTTTTATTTGCATAAAAGGTTGAAATTTCAATAACATCCATCAAAAATATGTTTTGCATTTATAAGTAATAAATTTAAAAATATAAATGCTTTAAAAACATTCTTTTCATTGAAAAATCACTAGAATGACATAGGAATTACGTTGAAGAGGGAATTCATAGCTAAGTGTTTAAGTTTCAACCATAAAATACAGAGATAATTTATCGAACCTTAGTTGGCGTAAGACAGGTTTCCCGAAAAAATAAGCAAAAAACAGAAAAGTGATTCTAAATCATTAAAAATATTTTAACAATATTTATTTTTATTCCACATAATATAAATATTTATTTAACAAGGTAAGATAGATCTTTTATATATTTTTTTATTTGAAGATGAAAACATTTATAGAAAAAAACTACTATTGTTTTAAAGTTATTTTTTTAGTTTTTATGTGAAAATACTTTTTTTTAACATACTTGTGGTGTCACGATCACTTTTACATTAAGTAAAACAGCCCTGTTATATGATCCTGCATACAATTTTTTTTTTTAAACAATTTAGCCACAGTATGGTGCATATTTTGATAACTAGCATACTTTAGAACATGTTCTGAAAAAACTAAACTAATTTAAAGAGAAAAATTTTCAATAAACCAACCATAATCTGAAAAAAGAAACAAGCTTAACAAATGATAAAATAAAGGATAAACTAGAGAAAATAAAAGCACAAAAAAAATTATTTTTTATTTTAGAAGCATTTCAATTAACAGTTTAAACCAAATTAATTTAACTTAAAAGCGTTTCAAATAATATTCAAAAGCTGTTTCTTATATCATATTGATGTAGCGTATAGTTTTATATGTTTTATTGCTTTTATATATATATATATATATATATATATATATATATATATATATATATATATATATATATATATATATATTTATATGATGCTAGATTACTAAATTTTAAAGCTTTGCTTTAGTTCAATGATATCAATTTATATATATGATGATATATAAATATTTAAATATTTATGTATGCTGATGTGAAAAGTATTCATTATAAGTAAATATTCCTGAAAAAATTAAAACAATTGTTAATGCACATTAAAATTAATAGCTTGTGAATTTTTTTTAAGTTAAAAAATTTAAACTTTTGACAAAAACCTGTTAGAATGATCCAACAAGTTTTTCATCAAAATTACAGCAAATTTTATTAAAGCTCACCTGGATTAAAAACAGGTTTTTTTCTTAATAATGCTTCCTCAAACTTGCTTTTCTTTTTCTTTTTTGATTTTACTGTGGGAACAAAGTCAGCGTCCATCTGTAAAAATAAATAATTTCACATTTGTTTTACAAGTTACAATTTTTAAATTTGTTATGGCACTTAAAAACATATTTCATCATAACAACATGAACGATTAGTTTATATGTGTTTTGCTTCAACTAGTGATCAAACAACCTTGATGTTGATGATGATGTTTAACTAATAACAATTTATAAATAAAGACAATTAGAATGCTCTTAGTTTTTTTAATCCATGCAAACATTTATATATAAGGAAAACTTTACTTACACATAGAGTTTTAAATTAATCGCTCTTAGCAACTAGTTTTAAATAGTAATATTATCTTCCATGAAGAATGAGGTAATTTAACTTTGATTCATATTTTTTCTTTTTTCACTTTGACTTCTAAAAGGCATGTTATACTGTCCAATTCAGAAAACCTTTTATTTTTTTTTTCTATGAAATAAATAGTTTGTTATTAAAGAGGTAAAATGTTGTTCTGCATCATATTTTTGTTTAAATTATTCATGATCTCTTATTAATTTTTTATAGTTTTTTTCATTTTAGTTTTCCTCTACTACCATTATTCTAAGTTAAAGTAGCTTATTATGGTCATGGTCAAATAACCAAAATTAAGGTAGTTAGAAGTTTATAAACTTTTAATTCGTCAAACTTTAGCACTTTGATTAACTAACAAACTTTAATACTTTGAAGTTTCAAATTTTGACAAGCTTCTCTCTTTATAGAGTTTCTATAACTACAATAGAGTGGCAATTCTAAGTTCAATAAATAAACATAAAGTTTTAATTTCTCAACTTTTAACTTTTATTTTCCAACAACATTCACTCAATAACTAAATAAAAATGCAAAGATAAAAAAACTTATATTTGATGACCAGAATATAAAATTAAAAATCTTACATTAAAATCAGGATCTTCAAAATGTAACTCTATAAACAATGATAAACATAAATAAATAAGATTATAAAAATGAATTAAAAATTTTAACAGATAAAAAAATTTCTCATAGTTCAACTAAAAGGTTGAAGCATATGATTAATGTTTATTTTCATATTTATTATTCTCATATCTTTAGAGAAAATATCATAAACCCTGACATTTTACACACACACAGATATATATATATATATATATATATATATATATATATATATATATATATATATATATATATATATATATATATATATATATATATATACACATATATATTCAATTCAATTCAATATTCAAATCAATATATCTATTCTGAATCAAATTGTAAAATTTCAAGGACTTTTACAAATAGTACAAGTACTAATCTAAAGTAAAAACCTGCAACATTACAATAAAAGTGATCATAATAACAATAATAATAGTATTGATAATAATTATAGAAATAATATTAACAATAATAATAAGATGACGATGAAGAGGAATATTATTAGTAACAATAATAATAAAAATATTATACAATCAATATTAGATAAAAGCAATAATAGTGATAATAACAATTATATAGTATAAGTAGTAAATAAACTTAAGAAAAAATTAAAAAAAGCAATAATAATACTTATTATGTTATAAATAAAAATAACAATTTACTAATAAAGATAGAAGAATATTATTAATATCAATACTAAAAATAACAATAAAAATATGAGAACAAAAAGTTAATAATAAAACTAGTAGGTATCAAGAGAGTAGTGATAATAAAAGCATAACAACATATTTCAGAGGCCTCAGGTATAATACCTTGCTAAAAAATAGTTAAAAAGGCAGTTTTTGAAATTAGTAATTGAGTCAATTGATTTTAATGGTGAAGATAGACTGTTCCATTTTACACTTTGGTATTTTATGGATTTTAGATCATATTTTTCAAAAGAAAGATTTGGTACATGAAGATTATAGCTATTAGCAGATCGTAGATGATAGCGACAGCTTTCTCTAACAGTAAAAAAATTTGTAAATGTGCTGGGTAGACATTTTTGTTTATAATTAAAGACAAAATGGCAATTTAATAGTTGAACTAGAATCATCAATTTTGAGTATTTTGGATAAAAAATAAAGATGATCGGAGTTAGATTGATAATGCTGAAAATATGTTATTTTTAATGCTTTGTTTTGTAAGTTGGATAATCTTAAAATTTCTTGGGTGCGGATTTGTCCCCAAACTTGACAAGCATACCTAAGATGTGATCCAAAAATGGCATGGTATATATTGATAAGAGTTTCAAGATTGACATAATGACTAATTTTAGCTAACATCCCATTCGATCTACATAGTTTTATTGACAAGTCTTTAAGTTGTTGAGAAAAAGTTAAATTTGAGTCAATTTTGATTACGAGATACTTTAGGTACATAACTGGATTGATTTTTTGACCACTCAGCCTAAAATTTAGGTGTTTACTAATTTTAAATTCTTTTGATTTAAAGATGATAGTTTCAGTTTTACTAGTATTCAGATTTACTAGTATTGGATCAAAGGCATTGAATTAGATTAGATAGATCATGATTAATATATTTGTTTATTTTTTTTTAATGATTTGTTAATTAAAAGTAAGTTAGGGTCATCAGCAAAATAGTAAGAAGTTGTTTATTTTAATGATAAATTAAGGTTGTTAATGAAAACAAAGAAAAGTAACGGTCCTAATACAGAGCCTTGAGGTACATTTTACTAAAGAAGATGTGTTACCGTTAATAGATACAAATTGAAACCTATTAGAAAGATATAAGATAAACAATTGGAGAGAAATTCCTCTAATACCATAGTATTCCAGTTTACTTAGAAGAATAGAATGATCAACAGTGTCAAATGCTTTCTGTAGATCTACAAACACATCACAAGCAAAAAGCTTATTGTCAAAAGCTTTACTGATAACCTCGGTGATTTCAATAAGTGCATGAGTTGTGGAATGCTTGCTTCGAAACCCATATTGGTGTTTGTAAAGAAATAGATATTTATCTAAAAAATTGTAAAGTCTGTTGTGCATAGCTTTTTCAAATATTTTACTGATGCTTGACAGTAACGAAATTGGGCGATAGTTAGTGTGGTCAGTTCTAGAGCTTTTTTTATAAAGTAGAATAATTTTAGCTATTTTAAAGACATCTGGAAAAAGTCCATTCTCAAAAGAGCAATTTATCATTGTACAGAGAGGCTTCGAGATGATATGGGAAACAAGTTTGAGAAGAAACGTGAGAATACTATTGATACCTAAACTTTTTTTACTTTGTAAACTTTTTATAAGATTTGATACTTCATTTTCAGTGACTGGATCTATAAAAAAGGAGTTAATATTTGGGTTATTTAAATAGTCTGAAAAATTACATTTAGGTGAAACAATTTTTGTTAACAGTGTTTGTTGAGTATTTACAAAGTAATTATTAAATATGTTTGATACAGCTTTGCTGAAAATAAAAATAGTGCAATGATTCATTGACATTATTATTTGTAATTTGTATTTGCCAGTCTGCATTTGAGTTATCTGAATAAATTTTTTATTATCGAAATTTTGGAAGGTTCGTCTGAATATTACCTCCTTAGTTTTTTTGGGAGAAGGACAAGGAATGCAGATAAACTGTGCCATATGATCAGAAATCGATATTGTAAGATTGCCTGAAATTAAATCAGGAATTTGGAAATTTAAAAAGGTATTATCAATGAGTGTCTTAGATGTAGTAGTTATACGTGTAGGTTGAATTATAGAAGGGAAAAAAGAATAAGAACATAATGTATCAAGATAACTAGAGATAACTTTCGATTCATTATAATTTAACAAGTCCATATTGAAATCACCCATAAGGACAACTTGTTTATTTTCTAAACTAAGCCTCTCAAGCAAAGGATTAAAATGATCAGTAATGAATTCATTAGAGTTCATTGATGGATGTCGATATATAGTGCCAACAATAATATTTTGTTTCAGGGGATTGACGATTTCAACAAAGATAGATTCCAGGTATTTTGGAGAGTATACTATTAGATCACTACGAATAAAATAGTTTAAGTTTGAGCGTAAATATAAGAGCACCACCTTTTTTGGTCTCAGTAGGACTATGCTCAATAGTAAAACCATTTATATTAACATCAGTTTTACTGGAATTGTTAATATTTAGTCTTGATTCAGAGATACCAATTACTATTGGAAAAGTGGTAAGAGAGCTTATTAGACTGTGAAGACTGTCAATGTGATAAGGGAGCAAAGCAATGTTTAGATGTAGGTATAAATTACAATTATTATTAAGAACTTTCTTAAGTTCAAGAATTTCATAATATTTACAGTTAATAGTTTTGTTGGAGATTTTGTTTATATCATTGAATAATTTTTTGAAGTAAGGTGGAGATTTTAGAGATTTTAAATTATTGGTTGGTATAGTCTGAGACGATAAAGTTAAAGAAAGCTCAAAATCAGAAAGTGAACAAAATGGCAAATTTTTGTTGATGAAGTCACTGCAATACCAGACAGTAGAATCTTTTTCAATAAGGCTATAGGTGTGTTTGTTGATATAGATACATTTAGGGTGCAACCAAGAAGAGCAGTAAATACATAGAATTCCTTTATGGCTATCAACCACTGTTTTATTGCAGTATTTACAAAGATTTCTTATTAACATGACTTGTTATGCTTAAACAAAGTATAAAGAAAAAATAATTAAATAAAGATATCTACTATATATTTATAAAGAAACTGAGAGACTAAGACTAAGAAATGTTAATCTAGAAATGGTTGCTATTTTAAATACTGAGGAATGATCAGTTATAAAGAAATGATAGTAAGATATAAGAGATTTAAATACTTTACACAGGAGAATAAGTATTACAGCTAGATAATATTAGAATATTATTAACTTGATTTAGAATATAAATTTAGATATATTAATACTTCTAGTAGCTTTAGACATAGTATAATATAAATAATATATGTTAGTTAAATAATTTGATGATAATAAGGTAAGTAATAATAAGTAAAAAAGGAGATAAGTAGTAATATTAGGTAAATAACATTTATATGAGATAAATAATGATGATGTAAATTGTAATAAGAGATAAATAATGGATAAATATAGGATAAGTAATGCTATATTATTTAATAATAATGATAAATATTTAATTATAATAATAATAATCAAAAAGTCAATAATAAAAACAAATCCTGGAAAATACTTAAATTTACAAATAATATTTAAAGCAAAAAAAAATCAAAACAAATGTAAAAAACTCTTGATCTTTTACTTTCATTAACTTGATTCTTTCTTTACTTTCTCTCAGTTTATTAATTTTTAATGTATCTTGTTCTTTAATTATATTTATTTGAGTCTATAAAGTTCTTACACATCTCTAAACTTTAAGTACTTTGGTTTTCTAATTAATTTTCCGATATATTTTTTATTTTATTTTTAGTCTTTTTTTTTTTCAATAAATATTTTTTCCTCTTAACTGCTGTCATGTAAAGATATATTACTTTATCTGATAAACTTTTTCTAATTTACAATTCTAACTATAACTCTGCCATCTTTACCACGCGTACATCTCGTTTGTCGTTTTACTTTTCTATTCCTATTATTCTATTATTAATCATAAAAAGCGAAAGCCATATATATAACTTTGAGCTCAAAAATATTAGGATGAAAATGCCTTTCAATTCTTACATCATAAGTGGACCACTACAGTCGAGGAGGCTACTCATTTTATTTTTTTTTAATTTTTTTTTTTTTTTGCTGTAAATCATGGTACAACCCACTCTCAACTCTTTAACTCTGAAACACGAACCTTGACAAGCAAGGCCGTTGTGGGAGAAATTGAGCGCTGTACTTCCAGGGACACGGTGGGAGTCGAACTTTGAACCTCTTGCTTACAAAGCGAGCGCTAACCACTACACCACTACCGCAAATATATATATATATATATATATATATATATATATATATATATATATATATATATATATATATATATATATATATATATATATATATATATATATATATATATATATATATATATATATATATATATATATTGTTCAAGAACTTTAAATATTTCCAAGTTTCATCACTTATAGCAAATATATGATTGTTTATGAAGCAAATATATAATTGTTTATGGAGGTTTTCTATTATTAGTTTTGTATTTATCTGTAAAAAATTTATAATTTTTTAAACTACTTTTTATTGTTTTTTTATTTGATTAATAATTGTCAATAATTAATAAGAACTACCTTAAATATATAACATTACTCCGTTAAAATGATTATATTAATTTATTTATAACTTTAGTTTAAGTTCTTGACAGAAATATAATATCTTTACACATTGCTAAATTACATTAAAACATCTCATTTAAATGAAAGTCTTTTAGGCGAAAGTCTATGCAAATATCTAACATAAGCTTCAAATTATGTAAATTATTAAAAGTTATATCAAATGTTATAGATTTACTTTTTTCTTGAAAATTTTATTGCGGCAATATTAGCTTAATTTTGATTTATGTTTATTTTTTTAAAGCATTTATATCCCATTTTATAAAGTTTAGTAAGTTTTTTGTTTATTGATCAGTGTTAAAAGATAATATTATAGCATGCCAAAGTGGTTGAAGTGCTTTGCCTGGGTTTAAATTCTTTCGTTTTCACAATTTTTTTAATCTTATCCAATTTTTTAGAATACAAAGTAAAACATTTTTAAGGTCTTTAGATATTATATGCATAACGTATAATATAACAATTGAAAGGGAGAGAACTTTTGAAAAGCTTTTTAAAATTTTTATAAACAAGAAAACACAGTTAAAAATTTGCTGTAGAGTTTAAGGTTTTAATGTGCTTATTAATAAATTAAATGTACGCATTAAAGAAACAACTTTCTTTCTAATAGAAAAAAGATTTTACATGGAAACTTTAATTTTCTATAAAATAAACAGGGCAAGAATCCTAATAAGCTGCAGATGGCTTGAAAAAAAATTAATAGAAACTTATTTAAGAAAAAAAAAAAAAAATCCGTCCCCTTTTTTTATTTTTGTATAAACAGCTAGAATAATCTTTAATATTTTACCAATGTCATAAGTTCTGTATATATTTAATATTTTACCAAAATCATGTCTGTATAGCAAGTTGAGATACAAAGTTTGTTTGATTGGTTTGTTAATCATTTTTTACTAATTAAAGAATCCTTGATGATCAAAATCTGAAAGTTTGTGATATTGTTAGACTTTAATTATATTAAATCAATCAGTAGCAAAAAGGTGCCAAAACCCTTGTAAGTGTTATACTTAAGTGTTATATAAGTGTTATACTTTGTATAACACACTTACAGGAGTTTAGGTTTTGGCACCTTAAATGAAAAACTCTTGTAAGTGTTACACTTACAAGAGTTTTAGCACCAATCAAAATCTAACAATACACTTAATATTATAGTAATAGAACTTTATTTTTATACCGTTATAAAAAGCATCTACCAGATAAAATAAATTGAAAAATTTTTAAAAGTAATGACCTTATTTCTATCAAATGTAATGTGAAAATTGTAATCTGATCGTAATCTCAATGTGACACTTGATATTAATACCAATACTTTGAATGTAATAATGAACTGAACTATGCCCTCTGTGATTCAAACAACCCACCTGGCATTATAAAAAGAATCTGTTGTCCCTATATTTCATAAACTATTATAAAGAAATTTAATCAAGGTTAGTTATTCCTGAAAGTCAAACATAAAATCCATAATTTATTTGCAGAACCACAAGATTTTACACTGCAACACAAATTTAACAAAAAAAGCTTGCAATAGATCTGTCAAAAATACTTGCCCATAAAACAATCAATGATTACTAAGTAATATTATTTATCAAGCTGAATGCTGTTCATATTAAGCTACTGTGATACTGTTCAAGCTGAATGCTGTTCATATTAGGCTACTATGATACTGTTCATATTGATCAATAAATAATGATCATCATTATTTTAACATCTATGCTTGTATTAACTTACAGCTTATTAACTTTACAAAACAAGCTTTGTCACTATCTTATTACATTTCACTATCTTATTACATGTCACTATCTTATTACATTTTTCTTCAATTTTTTTAAATAGTTGATATTATTATGCTACCACTTAGTAAAAAAAATTTGGGTTTAAAAAAAAAAAAATCATAAAAACATTTTGGGTTTAAAACACTTTTATTTATGATGATGTTTAACCATATGTAACACAGATTTTTATATGTTTCCGTACTAGAACCAAAACTAATTATTAACTAATGGATAATAATTATCATCTAAATCAAGTAATTAATAATTAACTAAAATACTGAAATACTTTTGTCCAATAACATACCAGTATTTATTTATATATGCATACATTTTTTTTAAGTATTATTATTATAATTTTTAATCTTTTTTGTAAAAATCAGCATTAAAAAATGTCTTAAAAATGAAAATGTTAAATCAAAACCTTCATTTTTTTCTGCACCTGTCCACTCATCCCAATTTTCTAAAATAATAAAAAAAAAATTAAAGTGCAATTTTAGTTTCAATTTATTTTAAATTTTTGTCATTGATTACATTATTTTTAACAAAATGGCTTTTCCCATGAAAAAAAACTTTTTTATTTATTCATTATTGTTACAAGAGGAAACTAAAAACCCATAAAACTGATAAAATGACAGAGGTTCACTAAAAATGAAATAAATATTAACCACTTGGTGTTTTACATATTAAGTCACTTGCTGTGAATTATATACATGCAGTAATACGTTTACATAAAGTTTTTGTTGTTGTAAGCACAGTAATGTACAATATTTTGATTAAAAAGTGTTTTATTTTCACAGCCTATTTTTTCTTTCTTCCAGCAAAAGAATCTTACTACTTAATAATGTTTATTAAAACAAATTTAATAAAATACACTGTAATAAAATACACTGTAATTAGCTTTTTTATTCAACTGATTATTATAATAATATAATGAGGTTGATGAAAATAACAAGCAACGTGGTTGATGAAAATAATATAAACAATGTGGTTGATGAAAATAACAAACAACATGGTTGATGAAAATAATATAACAAACAAAGTGGTTGATGAAAATAATATAACAAACAATGTGGTTGATGAAAATAATATATTAAACATTGCAGTTGATGAAAAAATAATAAACAATGTGGTTGATGAAAATAATATAACAAACAATTTGGTTGCAAAAAATTATATAATAAACGATATGGTCAATGAAAACATGGAGGGTACCATTATTAAAGGATATGCTGAATAAGTTTTATGAATAAATATATTTTATATCTACACAGTAAAAAATGAAAATACAAATAAATTTTTATGAAATAAAGTTTATGATATATCTTCACCATGTTGTATATTTTCATCAAACATTTCACTTTTAGATAATAAATATTATATAATATAGTAAATAAATATTATAAATATATAAAAGGTATTAAATTTTAGGATAAATATTTATCCTAAAATTCAATACCTTTTTTAAGATTATCATCATCAGATAAAATTTATTACCTTGTATAAGATCACCATCATCAGATAAAATGTATTACCTTGTATAAGATCACCATCATCAGATAAAATGTATTACCTTCCTTAAGATCATCTTCATCAGGTAAAACTGGTTTTTCATATTCTTCTACATCATAAAACTCTTTGTCATATACTTTTTTCATAAGTTGGTCATACTTTGCAGCATCAAATTCTCCATCTAATTCTTCTTCTAAAAACCCTACTTTATTGTTTCCAGTAATTTCTTTAAGTTTTTCAATTTTTTCAATAATTTCTTTTCTTTTAAGTTTTTTTAATCTTTTCAGCTCTTGGATTTTTTTCTCTTTTTCTTTTTTTTTGCGTTCTTCCCTATCTTTTCGTTTTTGTTTTCGTCTATCATCTTCACATCGAACAGATTCTTTTATTGTTCTTGGGTATCTTTTGATCTAGAGATTTTTAGAACATTTGTATACAGTAATATATAAATATGCTATAGTAGATAAATATATATATATATACACACACACACACACACACACACACACACATATACAGTATTGGACAAAACATTTGCAACCAACATCGAACAATGCTAAAAAGTGTTCCTAATTTTACATGTTTTAAAAACGAAACGAACTACATTACCACAGCAAACACTACTTTTCTACTCATTTGCAAGCGAATTGAAATTTAAAATATATCTTTAGATTTTTCTTTAGTTTTTCACAATTAAAATATTTTTTTGTAATTTCAAAATTTTTTTTATTTAAGAATCACAAGTTTATTGTTTATACATAAGTAATATCACTTGCTACATTTATTAAATAGCATCACTTGCTACATTTATTAAATAGTCTCTAGCCTACCATTCATTGTTACAATAAAATAAATTTCTTTAAAAAAATGCTAAACAATCAAAAACTCTTAAACACCTAAATCACTCAAATACCTTAAATACTTCTTAAACACCTAAAACACTCAAACACCAAAACCTCACAAATAACAAAAAAATGTCTAAAACACCCAAAAAACCTCTCAAACAGTAAAATACAAGGAATATGAATACATTAATAAAAAAGAAAACTATAAAAAAACTAAAAGTACAATAAAGACACGTAAAAAGGAAACATGACAAAAGCCACATGTTAGTCATACATTAAAAAAACTATTTCAAAATAAATTTAAAAAATCAATAATTCTAATTTTCAATTAAACCAAAGAAAAGCAACATTTGATTTTTATAAGTTGGTAAAATTGGTCTTATAAAAATGTTTATATGTAACTACAAAAAGTAATTATATTTACTATATATAGTAATCATATATCATATATAGTGCAAATATAGAGATATGAAATAAGATAAACTGGGTAAGCCAGTGATTATATAGATAAATATCCAATACATTACACTTGGAAGTATAATTATTTAAAATGTAAATTACAATAACTATATTTTAATACATATATTATATAATAGTTGTTAGTTAAAAATTTATTACTAACTTTATATATAAAATAGTATTTGAAATTAAAATTTAGAAGAAATCTTTCAGCATTGTTGTCTACTTCAATAAATTAACTTACAAGATCTTGATCAGGTTCTTCAAATCGAAAGTTAAATTTTTTTTCAAAATCTTCAACTTTTTCAAGATCTTTCTCATCCTTAAAGTTTATCAAAGTAAAAGAATTTTTAAAAAAACATTAAGAGTTAAAAACTTTAAATCTAAGATAAATTAACTCTAAGATGTTTTTAAAAATTGTTACCTTTTTAAACAACCTAATATTTAGAAATATTAAATGTTGAAATATTAATTTTTTATTAAAAAAAATCTATACTTAATGGGATCCCAAACCTCTGAAACATGTTGTGTTCATATTAAAGAGAAATAATAAAAAAAAATTTGGGGCTTAATTTTTTTGATTAAAACAAAAGAATAAATGTGCACCAAGAAAAACTAACTTTTATATTTTAATCGAAGCTCTCCTCTGTTTTGTTGTAGGCATAAAAGTCAGCAATATATATGCCACAATCTACAGACTTGATAATTTATTCAAGCGCATTTTATTCATAAGAGCTTCAGTACATAATGTCATTGATTTTTTTTGTTTGTTAAACAGATCAATTATTTAACAAATTGAAAAATCAATGACGTTATGAACTTAAACTCTTAGGAATAACACACATTTGAATAAATTATGGAGTCTGTAGATTGGGGTGTATATTATGCTGACCTTTTGGCCTACAATTACACCAAGAAGGCGAAGTTTAACTAAAATAATATATATATATATATATATATATATATATATATATATATATATATATATATATATATATATATATATATATATATATATATATATACACAGGGGTGTACACTCAATTTTTAGATGTTTGAGTTTTGACACTTACAGGCATTGTGCAAACTCCAAACTTTTGTATGTTCATGCTTATGTCAAATAAGGATGTTTTGCAAAGAATTGTGGTGATTGGAGGTTGGGAACAAAAAAACCCTAATTTTTGGGCCCACCCGGCTCTTAATGTGGGAGCAACAAGTTTATAAATTATTTTCTATACTATTTTTGTTTAAATCAATATTCATCAACAAATTTCAAATTTCATGCAATAATCTTTTAGTGTTCAGTTTTTATGACCCTGCAAAGTTTAGAGCCCCCTCAAATTGAGGGGGGTTAAAACTTTATATGGTCATAAAAACTGAACACTAAGAAAATATTGCATGAAATTTTAAATTTGTTGATAAATATAAACTTAGATAAAAATAGAAGAGAAAATTTTTTATAAACTTGTTGCTCCCATATTAAGGGTTGGGTGGGCCCAAAAATTAGGGTTTTTTTGTTCCCAACCTCCAATCACCACAATTCTTTGCAAAACATCCTCATTTGACATAAGCATGAACATACAAAAGTTTGGAGTTTGCACAATGCCTGTAAGTGTCAAAACTCAAACATCTAAAAATCGAGTGTACACCACTGATATATATATATATATATATATATATATATATATATATATATATATATATATATATATATATATATATATATATATATATATATATATATATATATATATATATATATATATATATGTATATATATATATATATATATATATATATATATATATATATATATATATATATATATATATATATATATATATATATATTAATTTGCATACACATAAATTATTGTATAAAACTGTTTTATTGATAAATTGTTATCAAAATAATTTTTGTTTTTTTAATTTAAAAATTATTTATTTTATTATTGAATTTACAGAATATTAATTTAATTTACATATCTAGAATATTATTACCAAAAATTAAAATATTCTGATGAAAAACTTAAATAAGGAAACATTATTGTGTTTCAACAAGACAATGATCCAAAATACACTGCGACATCGGTAAAAAAACTTGAGCCATTTTTATTAAAAACACTTTAAAATAGACTTCTTTAAACTTATTTTTAGCCCTTTCTTTTAGTTTTTTTCTTAATCTAGTAATTTGAAATCATTAACCAAAATTTTTCCATTGTTTTTGGAAAAATTTTGAAAAAAAAAAGTTTTTTGTAATTAGTTAATGATATTTATATATATATATATATATATATATATATATATATATATATATATATATATATATATATATATATATATATATATATATATATATATATAACAGGCTTGGTCGGGAAGCGGGAGCGATCGCTTTTGAACATTGACCACGGAAATTATATTTAGTTGCGAGAAACTGGCCAGGTTTTTTAGTCGTTTTAAGAACATTTAAGTTTATGCACAAAACAAAAAATTTTTGTTTTACGGACATACATGGAAACATCAAAAACTTGAATGTTCTCAAAATATCTTGGTGCGAAAGAATTAAAAGAATATTCGCGAACACTAGAAACCCACCAAATTAACGAACAAACTAATTCTATTGGTTCAAAAAATACGCTGGCTAAGCAAAATAAAGTTCTAAAGTATTCTGTTGAAATGTTTTAGAAATTGTATTATTCACGATTTGTTACGTTTTGAGATTTCTAGCATAAATTGTTATAAGAATATATATTATTTGTTTACAAAAATCAATGTTTTAAATATATATTAATTAAATTGTCTAAATTTTAAAAACTTATTATAAATTATAGATTTTATTAGTATATTCTTATTTTTTATTTTAAAAGTATGTATTCTTTATGTAAATGTAATTGTGTGTATCTTTTATCGTAATGTATCTTTTAAAGCAATTTTTATGATTTAAACAAAGACTTGCAAAAATATTTGCATTTTCAATGAAGTTATAATCGTCAAAGTTAATAAAACCAATTATGTAACAAACACATAAGAAGTTTCTGGTTATTAAACACAAACAATGCATACAAAGTAACTCGCGGATGAACAAGCACCGCGTCTGAGGTCACAACATAACAAACATTTACAGCAAATAATTAAATACAAAGAAAAGTTTCTAGATATTGGTTTAAACCAATAAACTAAAGTAAATTATAAGTAAAGTAAAATAAATTTTATTAAATAATAAATAATTGATTTATAATCAATAAAATAAAGTTTAAACCAGTTAGTAAATACTAACTCTAATTATTTTCGTTTAAGTTGCCATTCTTAAAACTTGTTTTTCTGCTTTAAATACTAATTAAAATTAAAAAACCCACTCACTAAACATCATCAGCGATATTGTGAAGCAGTTTCGCTTCCTCGTAATTAAGTATATTTAACCTTTTTAGTTGATTTCTATCTTGTTAACTTAATTTCTATAGTAACTCAATGATTTAATTATTTCATTTGTTTATCTCACTAAGAATTCCCGACCAAGCCTGTATATATATATATATATATATATATATATATATATATATATATATATATATATATATATATATATATATATATATATATATATATATATGCATATAAATTACATTGTACTAACAACAAGCACATAAAATGACATCATAAATAAAAAAAAACCTCATCTTCTTGTTCACTATTTAACTCACCAACAACCTCATTGTAAGTAGGAATTCTAAATTTGAAATTATTGAGTTTTAACATATACTTTATAAATATTTACATACTGAAATAAGAAAATAGCCTTTTATATATATATATATATATATATATATATATATATATATATATATATATATATATATATATATATATATATATATACACAAATAGTTGCTTGGTTAAATACTGTGTAAAAAAATACAAAATCCTCAATCGTAGAAAAGTGTTCAATAATTTAGAAATTTAATTTAAATTTTAAAATAGAGCATTATTACCTCTTTGGCTACATTGAATGCTTTGAAGTGTAATATCATTTGGTACCTCCCATTATTTAGCAAAAAATGTCACTACGCTATTTTAAAGCTCATTAAACAAACCTTTTAAAATCAACAATAAATAAACACAACACAGAGTTTTCCAAAGAAATATGGGAGTTGAAGCAATTTTGTGCTATCTATTGAAAGGAAAGTTATTAGGCATTGTCAGCCATACAACATGGTTATGAAAAATTGTCATTTTTGTTTAAATGGAAAATTCGAAATTTTATTTTATAAAGGAACAAAGTTACTTAACAAATGGGGTGAAATGACCTCTATGTGCAGATAGAAAAAAAAATTCTGTTGTCCTCCACATTTGGTGATTACCATCATTATAGTAGTTAAAACTTGAAGAACTTTAAAGGGATCCCAAACTCCCAACACATGTTGTGTTCATATCAAAGATAATGTTAAAAAAAAAGGTTTGAACCAAATTTTTTTTAACATACAGCAAAACAAATTTATTTGTATTATTTTTCCAAACATCGCAAAAAAAATTTTGTAAAAAGTAAAAACAATAAATTATTTTTATTTTATAGGAGCAACTTATTTTTTACAGATATCTTAATAATTTTTAGATTTATATATCTTACTTATATTTCTTTAATTATTTTAATTAAAACAAATATTAAAGCTTTACTTACCAATCTCATGATTTTCATACGAGTATTTTACATTATATAGAACGTTTTATATACGGTCTCTTGTTTTTGCGCAAGAGAGCGCAGTATTATATATTCTGATTCTTAATTATTTTTATTTAAAAAATGGGAACTATTTTCTAACTTTTCTGGTTATTTTTACGCTATGACAATTTTTTGTTTTCCCATTGAAAAAAAGTATTTATTAACAATTACTTTCATAAACTGACAGTATTAATTAGAGATATTTAACAAATTGTAAATTTTTTTTATTATAAAATTTTTTTGATCACGCTGATTTAATTTAAATTGCTAAATTTGCTGAATTGGATACGGATAAAAAGGAAATACCATTTTATTTTACATTTGATTTTTTTTAAAATGTCAGCAACTCTATACCAATTAGAACCTGTTAAGATTATGAAAAAAAAGTACAAGAATACACTAAACAATACAGTTGACAGTAGTATCAGATATGAAAATTCGTGAAAGGATTTGTGAGATCCTGATTTTGCATTAAAAGTACAATTAATTGCAACACAAGTCGGCATTATAAATTTTGATTATAAGTTTACTGTTCAATATTTTATAACCATCAAATAAAAAACATAAAGTTTGCATATTTTTGCCCGTTTTATACAACTAATATTTAACAAAAATACGGACAATTTATTATTAAATAACGCAATAATTAACACATTAATTAAAGGCAATAATTCAAGATAGATGGTAATTTAAATTGTTAAAATGTCATAACGCCGATTAAAAAACATCTAAAACAAGAATGAGTGAAGCAAAAAATATATATATTCTATACAACTCTTATTCATTCAAAGTTTAATTGCGCGAAACTTTTCTTTCTCTTTTGTTCTACTCTTTTATAAAAAGAGCGCCCGATGAAATAATTATTTTATTAACATATATTTATAGTTTGAGATAAAATTAAATTAGAAATAAATCAACAATGAGCAAAGGAACGAACAGATTAATCTGGAACTATTTTGATATTTATGAAAATAATCAACATAAACAACATTACCAACAACAATTATCAAATAAACAACAAATCTCGCATAATTTTAGGGGCATTTTATTTTTATTGCTTAGTCGTTCTAAATAATAAGTAAATTTAGTTCAAGTTAATAATTCAATATTTACAGTTGCAATAGAATAAAGAAATGGTGTTTAATACTGAACTTTTTATTTAGTTATTTATTTTTTTACCTACATTTGTTATAAAAAACTTTAGAACCCCCGTCATTAAAATAATTCGTTTTATATATATTTGGACGTGATTATTCAAACTAATTTTTTTCGTTTGACTTTCCGAACTTCGTGCAAAGCAAATTGAAACGAAATATCATCTAACCAAATAAAAAAACTGTTACTAATTTTATACGGGTAATTAATGTAAAACAATTTTTGAGATAATAAATATTCATAATTTATAAACATTAAATATATGGCGCAATAACAATTTATAGCAACGAACCAGCATAAAATATTTAAGGTTTTTAATATCTTTTTAAATATTAAAAGTAGAAAAAAAAAAAAACTAAACAAATAATCAAAAAAACTTCGACTAAAAATAAATAAAAATATTTCTAGAGTTTCATTTGTTAAAAGTCTACCGTGACGTCAAATATTAAAACTTTTATGAATTAATCACGCTTCAAAGGAATTGCCAAAGTCTGTAGATTGCGACGCATAATTTGAAGACTCCAAGTTGAAAAAAATGGAGAAGACGAGCTTCGGCAAAAACAGCAACATTTTTTTTTCACGGTATGCATTCATTATTTATTTTTAATCAAAAAAATTTGATTCAAACCTTTTTTTTTAACATTATCTTTAATATGAACACAACATGTGTTGGGATTTTGGGATCCATTTAAGAATCTTTATGTGAACATTTTTTTAACAAATATAAAATTTATTTAATATTTAGTCATCTGCCCTTTTCTCTTAAGTACAATTTCTACATGTCAAGCCATGCTTTCAGAGAGTTTTTAAAAGTATTTCAGAAACATCTACTTTAGGGTGTATTTGCAGACATTTTTAGCTGAATTCAATCCATACTTTTGTCAAATATTTAATTAAAAATACATTTGAAAACAATAAATTTAATATATATAAAATTTAAAGGCAATATTAAAAAACTAATGATAACATTATATCAACAAAAATATGTATTATTTTTATATCTGTAAAAAAAAACAATTGCTTAACATTTTTTATATACATATATTTTTTATAACAATTTAAACGTGCTAACTATTTACCACACACCAGAGATTAAAAGAAGTTATAAAATCTTTTAATTTAGTAAATAGTAATTTGCAGTCCCTTCAGAATATATTACATACACACATACATATATACATACATACATACATACATACATACATACATACATACATACATACATACATACATACATACATACATACATACATACATACATACATACTTACATACATACATTCATACATACATACATACATACATACATACATACATACATACATACATACATACATACATACATACATACATACATACATACATACATACATACATACATACATACATACTTACATACATACATACAATTTTATGAATCATAAAGAAGAATGGCTCTGCAGTTAGGACAAAAGATTGTTTATCTTCCGAATGAAAGAAAAGATTGGCTATACAACTAGGAAATTAGGCCAAAAACTATCCATCCATCCTAATAAAGAAAAATGTGCTTGAAGCCTACTTCAACAACAGTAATGGCAACAACAACTTTAACTTCCAAATCTGAGTCTGAGGCAGAATATCAAGAATCTGAAGATTGAGAACAACAGTCCACAAGTATCAGCAAGAACTAAACAAAACAAAAACTGCAACCAAATTAGTAACATCTTTAAAGTTATTAACAAGAAAAACAGCATCGATTTGTCAACATTTATCTCAAGAAGGGATCAACATTTAGACACCTTCACAGTCTGGTAAACATATTAGTCACGAAGAATATCAAGTGTTAGTGTTGAAGAATAAACAAAGGTTTTTTTAGGTTAAAAGCACTATAGTCAAAAAAGAAGATACTGCTGCTTAAGTTATAACAGCTACTCTTAATGAATACAATTTATGGAAGAGTATAAAGATGATTGTAGAGGACACTACAAATGTAAACACTAGAAAAAGGAATGGGAATTTCAGTCAGTTACACAGACGCTTTATTGAAAAGAACCTTAAAGAACCACAATTCATTGGTTGTGAACAACATGTTCTTGACCGAGTCTTTTGTGTAGTAATGGATAAAGAACTAGGAGGAAACAACATGTCGCCCAATATCAAATATCTGTTTATCCAGAACTTGTAAAGAACTTTGTAAAGAATTTCAAAAATGATTCATGAAAAGTGATTACTGAAACAGCAGACCGGTATAATGATATGAAATTTAGATTTCATTCAACTCCGGTATTTTTTTGAAGAATCTGAAGTATTTCCTAAAGTGAAGTTTCAGGAATTACCTAAATTAAATAATGTAAGATGAAATTCCCAAGAAATACCAGCTCTTTTGGCATTTATTCTTTTACCAGAGAGAAGAGACTCACAACTCAACATTTTTAGAATTATCTCTTTCAGATAAGCAGACCCCATAGGTTTATCAAACGAACCTACAATTCTAATGATTAAAGGAAGCTATGTAGCAGCTTGAAATATTGCAAAAAAGTGTTAAACTTAGTGAAAAAGTTTCAGAATCAGAAACCCTTGAGACTGGAAATACCCAAAACTAATCAGCGAGCAGAACAAGCAATCAAGTGTCTTCAAGATCTTTTTTACATCTGCAAAAGTTAAGTTTGTAAGTAAATTAAGTTTGTAATTTTATAATTATTTGTGACTTACAGTGTTATGATATAACAATAAACTGCTAAATGCTTAAAAACTACATAATAACTCTCCAATTGAAAAAGTTAAAATTAAAAAACAAAAATCAAAAAAATTGTTTGAAATTTTAGCCATACGCATAAATTTAAAATTTTGGTTTGCGGGTGACCTTTTTCTATAAG